CTTCATCACCTTACACGAAATAGGGTGAATACATCTCAGGCAATTAAGCCAAATCTGCTTTTTAGCATAATATTACCTCGACTAACTGTACAGAAGTTGAGGTAGCGGAACAAAAAAATGTTGTGCCCATTAACAACTTAAACTGCCGTTTTACTGATTAGCAGCAACCCCGAAATTGCGACTTCTCTCCCCTCAAATACTACAACTTCACGCCCTATCCTCCTCCTCTTTTACGTCATTGTCTACATTTCTTTGTCCCTGTTACCCGCATTTTGTACTAATGCGTTGCATTTTCGTCTTCCCATCCGTCTTCAGGCTCGCCGAGACACCATATTGAATTCGCCAGACTTCAAGCCAGATGATACCGTCCTCGAGACACCTAGCAACGGTGCAGGTGTTCACACAAACGGTCTCCAGATTGTGGACAGAATAGGCGAGGACTCATCTTCAGAGCGTGTCGGTTCAAAAAGACGAATCGAAGGAAACAACTTCTCTAGACCTCTAAAAAGGGTCAATTCTCCTCATGGACCGGGTAAGTCGGACTGAGGCCGGCGGGACTCACTGTCGGGTCAAGCCGGGGCAGTCAGTCTGACAGAATCAAGCCAGTCGCCAGGGCGGACCTGAGGCTGAGCCCAGACATTTCCTCTTTACCATATACCTTGAAAGAGAAGATAAAAAGGGTAATTCGTCTTCCATGAGTCTTCTGAGATAACATTGTTGGGGAGATCTTCACTTCATGTGAAAGGGCATGAAGAAGAGACTCGTAGATTGATCTCACCAGGAGACAACTGTTGAATCCCGTCGTACTGCAGCAGTCTGGCTTTAATACGACTGCGTCAATCTGATGGCTGCCGTACAACGGGATTCAGGCGTCGTCTTCTGCTGAGCTCAATCTAAGAATCTCTTGAAGTGGGTTGACCTCGTTGTCGCAACTTGGTCTAGTTGTCAGGGGACTATGTAGAACGCACCTAGTCCGAAGTCGTCTGCCATAGTAGTTGTCATGATTCCCAGCATCTGACAGTCGACTTGGTACATTCTCAAACGTTTCGTTGGCATCATCAGTGAGTTCGTAGCTTGGTGCGTAGAATCGCAAAACTCACTGATAATGCCGGCGAAACGTTTGAGAATGTACCAAGTCCACTGTCAGATGCTGGGAATTATG